GCACAAGTTCGATGACGTTGGCAAACCTCGCCGAATTGTACGCCCCACCATCAAGCCACTCATTCGCCGCCCTTTCAACCCTGAACGCGCTGAAAAAGCGAAACACGACATCAAGGAGCTTGCACTTCGCGCGCATCTCTTCAAGAAGCAACAGTTGCTCGATCGTATCTCCGACCCTGCTCCCCCTCTCATCGATCGCATCGATATGCAGGCGGGACCCTCCTACAAATACGAACCACCCAAGCCGCTCCCCGACATTCACTTCCAGCGCACAAAGATTCTGCTGCGCACATCCGAGTACAACGAGATGTTTGCCGCTACAGCCGACAGGCTGGAGCCAGTGTTCGCTCGGATGGAAAAGGAAGAAGGAAACTTGGAGCCGGAAGTTGTGGCGAAAGTCAGGAGGATGGGCAATGGGTTCGACGAGTTGTATCATGGGCTGGAGAAGAAGGCGCACCGGCTTACCAACAGGCACTGGAGAGTTATCAAGCGCGACCTGAAAAGGATCGGGCATGTCTCCTTTGAAGACTTAAGCAGTCACCTGCCGGAGATTTGTAATGAGTTGGCTAGCCTAAACATCACCTTCAAGTACGAAGTGTAGATAGTGGAATAAAGATTGGCAATCTTTTCTGGCATAATTGGCTTATATGGCATGAGGAGGAGATCTCCTTCGCTTCCCTTTTTTCTTTCAATCATAAGTGAATACGGGCTAATCACTACAATAAGAAATGGCCCCATACATCCCCTTCGTTCCGACCGAAGCATTCGCTATCACCACGGAAGAAGAGTGGCGCAATGCAATCTTCCAGAATGTGAACGTCTCTGACGAACAAGCAGCTCTGCTGCAAACGGTTACTGCGAATGCTGCAGAATCGACCACTGGACGAGTCAGAGACTGGATTGGTCGCCTGACCTTAGAAATAAGCAGACACTACAACGGATACCTTCAAAGCCTCCTTCGAGAGGTTGAATCTCTGCATATCACGGTCCAGAATCAGCAGGCGCTAGTCGATTCCTACAAGCGACAAGTCGATGCGCTACCTGCGTCAACGGGTAGCGGTCATTCCCGTCAACCTAAGATTGGGGAACCTCCGGCCTTCAAGGGCAGTGAGGATAAGACCAAGCTTGAGGAATGGCTGGACCTGATCGTACTGTGGTGCGAGCATGAGGGAGTGGCCACCGACAAACAGCGAATCGTCACGGCCCTCTCGAAGCTGCAAGGACCAGCTCATCAGTACATGAAGAGCTACTATGTGAAAATGCGGGAAGGAAAGGATCTGGGCACCTGGAAGGCATTTGTGGCGGAACTGGCCCAGATATACGGGCAACGTGACGACAAGGAGGGTGCAAAGAAGGAGATCACAGCGCTGTTCATCAATAAGGATCTGGCCTCAAAGGACTTCATGAAGTACGCTGAGAGGTTCCGCACCCTTGGACGTCTCACGGAGTATGACGATAGTCTCCTCATCGACAAACTTCAGGAGGTTATACCTCATGACATGCGGTTGGTGTTGGCCGGAAAGGATGAGTCCACCTTGCCAAAGGATTGGACGTTGTTCCTCGACATCTTGCTCAACATCAACAAGATCGTCAACCCGGAGAAGGCACGAGGCTCGGTATTCAAAACCAGTGGCTCGGATAACGGCGGCGCTGTTCCCATGGACATCAATTCGGCTGAAAAGTCGAAATCGAAGGGTAAAGGCAAAGGCAAGGCAAAGGACGCTGAGGCCGCCTCGACAGAGGCAAAGAAGTATTGCGTCATCTGCAAGTCGAAGACTCATAACACAGATGATTGCTACAAGTTGGCCAAAAATGCGGACAAGCGGCCGAATACCCAAGGGGATGGCGCTAGGAAGGCGCAAGGAGGAAGTGGTAACCCCGCGGCCAAGAAGGCTAAGAAAACGCGGGTTATTCAAGTCGAGCTTACGGATAGCGAGGACAACACGCCCCCGTCCACGAAAGCCATGAGCGCCAACACTGCGAGAATCGAGGAGATTGCGAACGTCGAGGAATCGACTCTGGCTGGAAAGGATGAACCCCAGCTGTCTGCAAAGACAGAACCCACCGCATGAAACATTTGTCTTTCCGTTCTATTCCTTGTACTACTAGCGCCCATACTGGCGCCTGTCTTAGCGCTCACCCGCAGGTTGAACATTATGTAGCTTACATAATGGGGTCCGTGCGCACTTCGTGCCTGGTATCGTACCACTACGTTTCTTTCTTCACTAACACGACCACATAGACACGATGGTCCGTGCGTAGTCAGTACTTGTATAAGTAGTTGTACCATCAGTCGGTCGAACCCTAAGTTCGACCTGGTTATTCATTCAAGTCTCTGCTCCTCTTCGCTTGGGGTAGTGGTCATTCTCGACTTCCTCGCTCGATCTTCAGGACGACGCACTGTCCATAAGTCCTCGCTCGTCGTCTACGAGTCAGGCATCGATATAGGAGTATAGACTGTTGTATCAAAAGGTCGAACTTTCTAAGCTACGTTCCTAGTTTCACCTAGTCGAACAACTCATCCACCATCACGTCGAACAACGCAGTAAACCCGGTTCCCTTGGGACTACCAGCCCTCGCAGGATCTCCCCTTCTCCAATACGACCGAGCAGACCGTTGCTTCGTCACCACCACAAGAAGGACTCCCATCTATCCTCGAGGCGGCTCCTGGGTTCGCGCAGAAGGTTCCAACCCGCAGATCGTCGCCCATCAACAGCTTGTCAGCTATTACCAGAGACACCCTCCCGCTCACCCAGAAGACGTATTCGCCATCCTACGAATCAACGTCGAACCAGCACAAACAACAGAGAACCTACAGTCACCTGTTAACGAACAACCGTTTGAGCTCCCGGACGTTCAGTACGTTCCCATCGAGGCTCCAGAACTACCACCAGCTCCACCTGCACCAACCAACGCACCGGTTGAAGTCCCTATGGCAACGTTCACTCAAGCAGACATCGATCAGCGCATCGCTGTTGCCCTCGCAGCATACCAATCCCAACAATCAACTGCCAACCGACCCCTTCGCCTTGACATCCCTGCTCCTGAACCCTTCAGCGGGAAGGTAGAGGACCTCAGATGCTTCATCCAATGCGTCCTCTCCTACTTCGTCGCCACCAACAACACCCGACTCAGCGATGAAGCAAAGATCGCCTTCACTGTAGCGTTGATGGAGAAGGACCTAGGGAAGACATGGGCAGACGCATACTACGAGAAGTCGGCAGGGGGAGTCCAGGTCTATCCCGATTGGGCAGCCTTCGCCACTGCCCTTGAGGAAGCGTTTCCTGAGCACGGAACGCGAATCAAGGCGCACCAAATCCTGATGAAGCTGCCCGAACGACAGAAGAACAAGAAGACGGCGCTCTCCCTCGGAAACTACGTCACCCGCTTTGAGCAGCTAGCGTCGAAAGCCCAGCTCAAGGACGCCGAAGTCAATGGCGTCAACCGCACCGAGAACGACTACCACACTCTCCACGCCAACTTCGTCAAAGGACTTCCGAAGGAGCTCTACGTCTCTCTCGCAACCAGGGTCGCTAGAGACCGACCCAGCACCATGAAAGCCTGGTACGACGAAGTCCGAAACGCCGATGCCGCCGAACAAGGGGCCCTCACCGTCACAGACACCAGGGACTATGGCGAGCCAATGGATATCGACGCCGCTGCAGTCGCGGCAACCTTTGCCTCTACATCGGGAGGAAGGAAATGGGAACTAGGAGCCGTTCTTAATGAGGCCGATCGGAAGCTCCACAGGGACGGAAACCTGTGCTTTTACTGCCACATCAAGGGCCACAGCGCCAAGGATTGCCGCAAGAAAGCGGCCACACGACAAGGGGGTGGGAGGCCGAACCAGGGAGGATCTGGGAAGGACGACTTCCGTGCCAGAATCAAGGCACTCTCCGCTGACGAGAAGCGGGAGCTGTATGAAGAACTTACGATGGAGGATTTTTGAAGGGGCAGGGTGAGCCGACGCAACCACTGCCCGTATCCGTTTCACTGTCCCGTGTAATTCTAGTAGTCCGAAATGAACGCGCTCTGCACATTCCGATTACTGTGGGACGAAAAGACGTCGAGGCGCGCGCTTTCATCGATAGCGGCGCAACAGGAATCTTCATCAGCCCAAGATTCGTCCGAGAGCATCGACTTCGGACAGAACCTCTCCCCCGACCCATCCCCGTCTTCAACGTGGATGGAACCCCGAACAAAGAAGCACTCATCACGCGAAGAGCTCTCTTATCTTACAAGATAAGCGGAGAACCCCGATTTGTCAAAGCCTACGTTGCCAGCATCGGCAAGGAAGACATCATCTTTGGCCACACTTGGCTCAAGCTCGAAAACCCCAAGATAGACTGGAAGACCGGACGAGTTGAGCTAAACCACCGGTGGACGAAAGACGAGACCAGGGCCTGGAAGATGGACCTGTACCAAAGGCGAGTGGCTCGGCTAGAACTGAAGAAGGCCGTAACTACCCCACTCCCAGAACCAACGGAGGACGAATTCGTCGTCATCTCCACCTCGAAGCACGCAACCCTTCCCGAACGAAAGACTAGCGGCGCAGCAGGATATGACATCTCTGCTGCGCATCAACTCATCATCCCTGCCCGACGACGAGGCCTGGTTGGCACTGATCTTATCATGGCTATCCCCAAAGGACACTACGGAAGAATCGCACCTCGGTCTGGTCTAGCGCTAAAAGAAATCGATGTCGCTGCAGGAGTAATCGACTCCGATTACCGAGGCAAGGTCTCAGTCCTGCTGGTCAATAACTCAGACCTCCCATTCACCGTCAAAACTGGCGACCGAGTTGCCCAGCTCATCCTTGAAAGGATGAGCACTCCACCAGTAACGCTAACCGACTGCATTGACGAAACGGAACGCGGGGAGGATGGGTTTGGGTCAACGGGTATTGCGTCCATCGAGGAACAAGCGGAGGACATCGACGATGATGAGTTCATCATTTCCTACTTATCTGGAACGCCGATGATCACCAAGTATGAGAAACAGGAACCCCTGGCAGTAAGGGACGTGCCGCTCAAGGAGCGACTCCCTGAACTTTCATCTGGCTACAAACGACTTCACAACGGCATGATTTGGAAGATCCACCACGACATTAGGCGCGTCACCACTTCCACCGAACTTGCAGCCTCGAACGCCCAAGGCAAGACAGAAAAAACGCTACCACAGATGGTACCATCCTACCTACACGATCTCCTCCCCGTCTTCGACAAAGGCACCGCTGCGCGACTTCCAGACCACACCGAATATGACCACGAAATCAACCTCAAGGAGGGCTTCGCGGACATGAAGCAACAGGTCTATCCGCTCAACCCGCAGCAACGAAAGGAACTCGACAAGTTCCTCGAGGAGAACCTGAGTAAAGGGTACATTCGCCCTTCG